ACTCACGCGAAATTTTTTTCTTCACACATAAACTGAATGATACCATCAACATCAGGCTCCTTCCATACCAACTGAAATGACCGATCATTACTGAGTAGGAGACAGATTCACTGAGTAGGCCACGTGCTGGCCTCAGGTTAATCAACAATTAATACGGAATTATAGTACATAAAAACTACATTTATCCCTTCACAATCTGCGCAACATTGGGATTAATGAATAATTCTCTTGCGCGTTTGTACGGCTAACTTCTTCTACACCTCTTATCTCTCTCCCGATTACTGCGTCTTCTGCAACTTCCAGTGGCGCTTGGAAAAATTCGAGGCCAGAATTAGGTCAGAGTAGGCGCTCGATGAAGTCCCAGCCCCCGTCTTCCGAGGGAAGGGAATCTACAAGCTGCTCGACCGACGTTGAATGGTAAAGTGGTATGGTACATACCTTGGGCGATTTGTCGAAATATTCACAAAAAGAATCGGGAGACGTACTTTTGGCCAAAATACTATTGTCTTAAATGGTGTGGCATGAGTAGCTATTTCATTAAAATATCCTTTATAGGGTCGGATCGATCTGTTTTTCTCAGTCGCAAAGGTAGTAAAATCGGAGCCAACAGCAGCAAAAAGGAAGGCTCAAGAAGAAAAGAAAACAGCAAAGAAGAAGGGCCCTCCCATGAAGAAACCCAAGTAATTTCGAACAGAAGAGTTTGCTCTTACAAACATGCGTGGACATGTGACGGTATACTTTTATACTCGAAGTTGGTTAGTTGTTAATAATTGAATTCGCTTCATGGGTGCGTAGTTGGACTCTTAGCGTGGAGAGATTCGAATTAACACATCCGCTTTTTGTTATTTTGTCATCTATGCAAATTATTGATCTCGTTGGTGTAACGTATTTCCGGTAGTATTAGGGTATCCATTTGGCCACATTTCGATTGTTTTGATAAAAACTCTTTATTAAATGTCTTCCTTTGCTGCTGTCACCGAATACAATTTGCCTCAAGGCTTCGTATTTGCGTTTTCTGAAAATAACGTAAATTGATGATGAGGAAAATCTCCAAGATATTACTTTTGACTGGTTCAACCAACCAAGAGGGTAATTTCTCTGTTCTTCGCCTCCAATTTCTCACATAATGCAGCCACAGCTCCTGGTAGATGGTGCTGACCTGAATGAAAAGGAATGAGTTTCTGGCTTGATTTCTCGATCACGCATTTGCTCCTGCCACCACTCATTTACAATATTTGTTTTTTGAATTTGCTGTTTTTGAATAAGTTAGCCAATCACTATTGTTTTGAGTTGCTTGGGGAGGGCGCTCTCTATAAATTGATGTACATGCGTAGCATAATATTAGAAACCTAGGGCAGAAAGGTCCGATGGAAATCAGGGAGCATATCTCCTATCCTCCCAGGCTAGGAGAGCGAAAGAGTCCTTTAAATTTGTTTGTTTTCAGCGGCACAGTTTCCTCGCTTCCCTTGCTTGCTTTCACACACAAATATGCAATTTCTAAGGGCGATTTTTGTTGGAAGGGCAAAGAAAATTCGAAGGAGTTTTTTGTTCCCCTAGCCTAGGGAAGGTAGAATATGGCACCAGGAAAGGTGCTGGGAATTTCTCTGATAGCCCTTCAGTTGCTGCCATCCACATTCAAAGAATCCCAAAAATGTTCAACTTATTTCAATTTTATTGTCTGTAGAAGGAACCCTTTTCTTCCCTTGTAAAGGGAAAGATGAAAAGTTCGGATAGGTTGGGAGGGAGCGAGATTTTTCAAGAGGAAAGATCCGAAGGCCTGAGGGGAGCAGTGACAGGCACAGTGGAGTAAAGGAGATCATTTTATCATTCTATCTGAATGTCCCAGAGGACTTATTCGAATAGAATGATGAAATGAAGCGTCATTGAAAATAAACAATTCAAGGGGTTCAATAAAAGAAGTGATCAAACGACAATTTAGTGGCGGTGGCAAAATAAGTGATTCGCAGCTTCGTACATTCAACGGAACGAGAGGTCGCAAGCTGTGACTTGTTTGACCCTTTTTCGTCATGGGTAGCTTCTCACCTACTCCTTCCACCAATCTTTTGTTTGCATCGAGGAGGCGGTCACGATCGCGCTCGCAATTGGCCAACTTCTCGTCCATTTCCAACAAAATATAGAGCATTTTTTGGGAGATTTTTCATACTTTGTCAATGCCGAAGATTTGGATTGGATTTTAACTTCGATATGTCTCCGCTATAACCTCTGGTGAGGTAATGTAGGTTTGTGGAACTTATCACGTTTTGCTGTCATTGATATTTCGATGGTCAAAAGCATGCTGGCAGCTTTACTACCGCACCTGCTAGCCTTTTATCTCCACATTTATCACTAGATCACTCACCGGTTGTTTAAGATTTCCACAATATACTATTGTCTTTGGGCAAACGTGCACTACGCCAGTTTATTCCCTGATATAGGTTTAACTAACCTCTAGATTTTATCTTTGACTGCACAGCTCAATCCGGTCCCGTACTTCACCACTCAACAGTAAGAATTTTTGCTTAACCATCACTTTAGGTCTCGATCTGACTCTCCATTATACCAGCATCGTCCTAGAGGCTCCTCAATAACACCGCTCCTCTACACCTACCCTGATCACCGCCACCCTCCCCATCAGGTCAACTCCTATTTGACTCATTCGAAAATTTTTTAGCGAACCCCTCTCTTTTACAAATTGGTATTTAGATACGACCCCCGCTTGTCATGTCACCTACCCTTGATTTTCCCCCGCGCTGAAACATTAAGTCCCTCGCAACAGAAAGTATAATCTTAATGCAGCATTAAAATGCATACAAAGGCGGCCCGTTCGCGATAGAAAGTCGTGAAAATGATGATAAAGAGCAGCCAATCAAGATAAACCAGATTCATCCCAAAAAACGATGTAACAGTGCGAGCATCAAAAAAGTAGCGATGTGATTCAAATTTGCTGGTTGGCGCCCTTTTGCCTTGCTGACGGTGGAGCGCATCTGCTCAAGGTGAGGAGCCGTCGAACGGGAATGTGAAAAGTTTAGGAGTTTTTTTTGTTTAATTTCAGGGTAGTCCGGAAGATATCGGCGGGATGTTGGATCAGCGTGGTTCATCCTTCTCAAGGAGTGCCCATTTTTTCTCAAACCCTTCACAATGAAAAAGTTATAAGCCAAAAAATTAGATTGCAAGAGAATTTTTACACTCCTCTTTCTAGGGCTATAACTTCCTTCATGTTCGAGCTTCAGCGCCATAGTGATTTGATTTAAAAAATTCAAATTATTCTCTAGCCAATCATGGGTATAAATTCTTCGAAAGTTAATTTATTAAAAATTTTGGACGTTGTGACTTTCTCTGGTGCAAACCGACTTTTTTGCTTTCAAACGATCATAACTTCCTTCAAAGTCATTCATTTAGGAAGCTGAACGCGATATAACACACTCCAGGATTCAAGCTTTCTAACGAGTACCCAAACGTTCCTGCAAAATCAGTAGTTCAAAATTTAGTCCCGTTGTAACCATTATAAAGGGCTGGTGTAACCATTTCTTTGAAAACGCGACTTTTTTACCTTCAAACGATCATAACTTCCTTAAAAGTCATTCATTTAGGAAGCTGAACGCGATATAACACACTCCAGGATTCAAGCTTTCTAACGAGTACCCAAGCGTTCCTGAAAAATCAGTAGTTCAAAATTTAGTCCCGTTGTAACCCTCAAATTTGAGGGGTATTTTTTGAGCCACTTTCTCGAAAGCGCGAGTTTTCTTAAGTTCCACTGCCCGTAACATCTCGCAAGACCAATTTCATGTTTAATTTAGGATGTGCTAGAATGCTCCGAGCATGCGCTTGCACTACATCCCTTCCCTTGGTGCGCGCCACGCCTCGGGCGCCCTTCTAATTCGCTGATTCATTTGAAAGCTCATTCAGAGGGAAGCGTGGTTTACAGATGCTCTAGTATCAGTAATCTTGCGCAAACGTATCGTGCCGGCTATCATGCTGGTCTCTAAAGGCATTAGTTTCATATGTGTTGTATGTTTCATATGTTTCATATATTTCTTTGCTGCGTTTGCTCTTCTCCTTCGTACCACTATCCATACTCAGTAGGACATCACCAAGAATTTTCAGTGCCGGGCCACCAAAAAATTACGACCCCCCCCCCTCCAAGCTCAATTCAGTACGACCCCCCCGTTGTGACTCGTCACAACGTAGGTCGTGCTCCCCCATCATGGGACTTTATTCTGTAGCCTTTCATTAATAATTTGCCATGCTGAGACCAGTCGACACCCTCATTCCGCCTCACTATTTTCCTCCAAAAAGGTTATTAATCTACTGCGGTAATGGGAGGGTCAAGCGTGCGTTGAGGAATCCTCGACACGTCGCAGGGGGGGGGTCGTATTGGCCCGCTGGGTGGAAGAGATCGAGCCATTTTGATGCAGTGGGATCATCACCGCCGGAAGACAAATATCAAGGATGAGTCGATGCCAGGCCAGAGGATTTCCAATGAAAATGATATTTCACCCACACAAAATTTTCGTGATTCTGAGGCGTCCGGTAATTCTTAGTTACTTCAGTGTTTTATCACCACACAAGTTAAAGAATCTGAATTTCGCACGCTTTCCAAGAGATATTTCATCTTTCAAGTAAGACCCCGAATCTGAAGGGATGTTAGGTACACGGCGCATCCGAGAAAGGGTCTAGTTGTTGCGCGCACTTCAACTACGGCTCCTTGGACAAACAACCTCAATTCAGGAACAATCGAGAGAATTCTGAAAGTGTCCGTGCGCATTTACAGGGAGGTGTACACCATTCAACATTGCGTTAACGGACTCTTCAGGGTTAAATTTATAAACATGTAACCTTTAAAGTTGAGAAACGCTAATCAATCACTTTTCTTAGAAAGAGAAAAGCAGTGATTCCAAATCTGCTCTTACTTTAGTACATAATCGCCCTTAAAAGGATATACAGCCGTTGAAATAGTGCCAATGTAGCGAAAAAGTACCTTTCGGCGGTACTCGTGCGAAAATCCTCAACGTAGCCGTTTTTTTAATACTGGACGTTTGGAGCAGTTCTAGTAAGCATTTGATAGAGCAAATCTTCTAGTTTATGATGGCGTATTTACTTTTCGGATTGGATGAGTTTGAACGGAGTTATGGCTTTAGGAAGTAAAAAAACTCGCACTCATCACAAATTTTCCTCGTTAATTTTGCAGAAAATCCTCAACGTGGCCATTTTTTGAATACTGGACGTATAGAGCTGCTTTAGCAACGGTTTGGTAGAGAAAATCTTCTAGTTTTGTCTGCCATATTAACTTTTCGAATTTGACGAAAATGAAGCAAGTTGTTGCTTCGGAAAGTGTAAAAACTCGTGCTCATCTCGAATTTTCCTCGTTAATTGGCCTAAATTTGTTATTTCTTATAACTTTTTGTAATTTCTATACTGATTAGAAAAAGCTCTTCACAAAACTTCCAAATCTGCTTTCAGATTGAAAATTCGTCATATTTGAAGAAAGTTATAATCATTTGAATATTTGTTCAAATTTCAATAGTAAATAAGCTGCTCCACGGTCAACGCCAAAGTCCAGTCAACACACAGCTGGCGAAGGCTTTTACAAGCTTCCTTTCAAGCGAAAGGCTACGTGTAAATTGAGAACCACAATCTGTGTAGTACTAGAATTTGGTAAGTCTTGTGGAGGAAATAAATAAAGAACAGATGTTTCATGGTATGCCATTTTTAGTGGCTAGTTTGTCGTTTTCTGGTCTGTTTCTCGTTTGCTCGTTTGGTAGGACTCATCAATAATGATTATTCTTTTTTGACTTTTTCACCTTTGTACTTCTTTCGACCAGCGCCTTCTTTTTGTGGGCGGTGGGGTAGCAGGGCTTATGAGCAGTTTTGGGGGAGAATTAAACAAGCTTTTCAACCTTTTCATAGTTCGGCTTTTGAAGAGGGTTGTTTCATGGACTTCGGCCTCCGGCGGAGGGTGGTGGGGGGGGGGGTCGTATTTCCAAATTTTCCTCAACGCCTCGCTTGACCCTGGATGGGGTACTGGGGTAGATGAGAGCATAGGGGGTGAGGGTGTAGATTAGAATCATAGAGCGGCAAATCCCACCAATTCACCAGTTTTGTCCAGCTTACCCTATTTGCACCAAAATCGTCAAAAAAAACCTGTGAAATACAATCTCCCTCCACACTTTTCCCAGAGTCTCAGAGTTAGTTAACCTTACCCAAACCCAAAATGCGACTCAAATAGTGCGAACGGACGGTTGACCCCGGCTAGGGAGGTGGTGCCTATTTGAGAGGCGGTTGAAAGGTAATGCGGGCTGGGTCCAAGAACGTGTTATTTGATGAGGAAAATTTGATGAAGCGTACCTTTTCCATGTTTTTCTTGGTTTCTCTCAGCTGAAATACAAGAGTGTCATCCATCGCCACAATCACCTTCATTTCAGATGTGTCTTGTCGAGCTGTTCCTCGAACTTCCACAGCCCTGTCTATTTTCTCTACTTGAGTGACTTTACGGTCTGTTATGTCTGTGCTCTGGCCATTCGATGTCTGTGCCCATTTCACTGCCTTAGTCGCAGTTTCTACTTGGATGGCTTTCGAAGAGCGCTCTACTCGTTGAGAGACTGCCATCCGATACTCGAGTTCCGCCCTTGTCTTCTCATAATCCCTGGTTAATTTTGAGTACTCTTCCTGAAGAGATAACAGCCTGATGGAGAGAGACGAAACTTCCTGAAATATTCTCTGCTTGAACTGAAACAATATTGAAAGGTTAAAATTCATAAACGAGCCCCACTTCAGCCTTTTTCTCCAATTCGTCGACCTTCTCGTTCAAACGCGATTTCAATTTCACCGTTTCGCTGTTCTCTCTGACCAATTTGTCCTAAAAATGTGGGATCTTTAGTAATGACGATCGAGTTGGAGGCGGAGTTTTCACGCCCATTGGGCGGAGCCTGCTTTTTTTTCACAAAAATTCCATCAGTATTAGCGACTTTCTGACTAGTAGTTTCATGACAAGCAAAGATGAAGCTTCTGGAGCACGCGGAATCACCTTCTCTTCCTGAATTTGGACGAGTTTTCTTTGAGAACGATCGAGTTCCTTCTGCCGCATTTCCTCATCTCTTCTCAAGTCAGCGATCACCCTGTCTCGTTTGTTGAGGCGTTCTTGAAGCTCCTTCTCGCGTTCAAGGGCGGATGACAGTTTCCTTTTCACGGAACTCAGACTTTCTTCAATTTTCTTTCGCTCATTCCATTTCGAAATTTCTGACTAAAACGAGATTCAGTCAAGTTGAGCCATCAAGAGTATTTATTGCAGCTCACCTCAGGATTCTTTAGTCCCTGATCTGATGTTTTCTTTAGACTGTCAAGGGCCATCTTCTGCTCATCAACTGTCTTTTTCAGTGTTTTGTTTTCTTTTCGTAGCTTCTCGAGATCGTACCTTAATCAAATCTGATATAGTTGACGATTAATTGAAGGAGAATTTTATCAAATTTCTGGACTGGAGAATTTCAGAATTGCTAGGGACGTTAAGCGTTCGTCACGTTTTTTCCGTGGCTCTTTTGCTGACTTGGTTCTTCATCAACATGGTAATAGCTAGAGGTCAATTCAATTTTATGATTTAGTTAGGGAGACGAAACGGATATTTTGAGGAGGCTGTGCGAAGATCTTCAGGTGCAAAAAAGCGATGATCGAGAAGGAGAAAGGGTCTGTGGTCGAAAAGGGCATACAGTGAGAAAACCAAGCGATACCCCTGGTAACTTCCCGAAGAGTTGTTTGCTGGAATGGTTTCGCAGTTTTTCAGTGATGGCGCGCCCGCAGCGTCACTAAATCGGGCTTGGAGGAAACCATTGTCCGACGTCCTCTCTTTTTGGCCCACTTCCTCACCACCTGGGATACCCGACAAGAGGTCCGTCGCGCGGCTAGGAGGCAGAGACGCAGACGGATCAGAGAGCGAGTCGCAGCGTGAACTCCTGTAGCTTCTGTCGCGTGTCTTAGTTGGAAGGAAAGGTGGTATGCTCAGCAAACCTCAATTTCTCCTCGGAGTGTGATATTTAAAAGTACATACGCTGTCAACTGAATCTGGGTAGTGGGGTAAATATGAACCGGGAGATGCTATGCTACTCAAAACGAACAAGAAAGCAAAAGAAACTGTCGGAGATGACTGACAAACAATGAGGCTTCTTCCTATTTTGGTAGTTGGTGTAGGGCACTGTACGAGCCTAAGGCGAAGAGAGTGCGTGTCTGGACGAGAGCTGTGACGATGAGGGGACGAGGGGGGGGGGGTAGATAGGCAGAGGCGTAGTTGTAGTTGTCAGGAGAGTTGGAGATCAAAGTTTTGGAGCCTATTATAGATGGAAATTCCTGAATTTAGTCTTCTGCCATTGTCACTGACGTTTGGGGACCATTACAGTACCTGAAGTGTATCGCCTACTCTTCAACCTGGGTACCTTGTCCCACCCCTGAGGTATCGCGGAGTATTTCGTTGCTCAAAATTAGGCGTTCAGAGAACCTGAGTCGTGATCCTCGTAAGGTATGCTTCACGTTCACGTACCGTATCTTCAAAACGGCTTGTTCATCTGACTCCTTGATTCTTGATGCCGCTTTTGCTTCAATTTCGGCTAACGCATCTTCACGGATCTTCTCACACGTCAAAAGTAGCTCCTGAAATGGAAGATCTCATAAGTGAGGTATCTCGAATAGTCTGCAGTGGCTGCTAAAATTTCAGCCGCAGCCACTTTATCTTATTATTCCTACCTTATTATTCGCTGCCATCCGACGGAGTTTCGCCTGCAGCTGCTTGATTTCATTCTTATACCTGGCTCGTTCTGCTTCCAGCTTCTTCTCCTAAAATTTTCCCTTCTATCCAGCAGGTTTTGAGTATTGAAGAAATCGAATAACTACCGTATTCGCCTCAAAGTCGTCGAACTCCGGTGGGGTTCGTGACGATTCATTCTTCTCCTTGCTCGTATCCTTCTCCTTTTCGACGGGGACCGACCGACTCTTCAGTTTGTGTGTCGGTTTGGCATTCAACCTACAAAGACATGTGAGGCTGCTGAGAAACGACGACCAAGAGCATTGCGCAAAATGACTAAGTTCGTGCTGGCGAAAATTTACCATTACCCCAAGCCTTTGACATGGTGTCGGATGAGGTAGGGACAACGCACGGGCGAAACACCTCTTATCTACGACCAGGGTGAATAACGGTCGAAGGAATCCTCGAGCTCTGTGCTGTGAGAAGAGTGTCGAGAGTGAATGTACGCGCGGAGAGCACAGACGGCTCGCGCGTGGCGAGAGTGAATGTCCGCGCGGAGAGCGTGACTGAACAGGCGAAAATCCTCGACGAGTCGTCGACGAATTTTCACCCTGGGCCACGACTCACGTAATAATCGGCTTCGCATTCAGATCAGCCAGGCTTTTCAGCTCTTCAGGTCTTTACAGAAAGCAGCAATCCCTTGTAATATAATAGACGCGGCATTCAGTGGAAACATGTGTTTTTTGGGAGGTGCGACGAAGAACATGTGTACCGAGGTAAGAAAACATAAGTGAGAGCACAGGGGACGAGCGAGACGCAGACATCGACTACATGTTGCATCGCGAGCAACAGGAATCGCAGCAGTGGTAAGGCCGGGAAAGCCACTCTTCGCATATGATGAATTTCTACCCTTTGAAGCTACCTAGATTCATAGTGGAATGTCCCTTTGAGGCGATTTTCGTGGCAAGCTGATACCGCTGAAATTTGAAAGAACGGTTGTCAAGTGATGCGTTTCGAAAAAGCACATTGAGGAAACGGGAAACCTTCTCTCCGCCTACTGAATTTCGAGGGGCGGGCGGTCGGGGGGGGGGTCTCGCTAATATGAGAGGTCCGGCTGAAGTCAAAGCAACAGTTCAGCAGGGTTTTTACCTTCGACACTAATGGTGTGGAACGATGCGCTAGCCTAGTCAAGAACAACAAGAAGTGTGGCTGAAAAAAAAAACTCACCTTGGAAAGCCGCTAGAAAGGGAGCTGAACAGCTTGAAGTGGGCGTGGTTGTGCAGCCGCTCGCCCGGTTTCCAACTAACGCCCACGGTTGGAAGCGCTTCAAATGGTTGCGCATCATGCTACAGCAACCGATAAGCAGTTGCTGCTTTGATCGGTGCAATAGTGCACATAGAGAGAAAGTAATGTTCGTTCTTTTCAGCCTGAGGATCACCTACCGTACTCAGCGTAGTGGTGACACTCCGCCGTTGCTTCCGATACAATGCTCGGTTTGCTTTGCCTTTTTTTCAAGTTCCTCGAGCTCTTCTTTTAAAATCGAGAACGTTGAGCGATAGTGTGCCTGTGAAAAGGCGCTGTTTACTTCAGTCTCGCGGACCTCCCGAAAGATTGTTTGAGGCGCCTTCGGTTATCTTCATCTTTAACTCTTACTTCCTCGACGCCCCCCAAGTGATTTCCTTCTCGACGATAGGACGTGAACTGGTGGCAAGCTTTTCTTCGGCGAGTTCACGGAATATCCTCAGAGCTTCTTCCTTTTGGAGCAGTTGTTTCTGAAAAAGGACCCTCGTTACAGTATGAACCAAATAAATCAAATCAAAAAGAATAACTGAAGCAGTGGAAAAAAACGAAAAGAAAAAAACATTTTGAACTACGAACCTCAAATGATTTTTGGAACACCCTCAGAGAAGTCGTGCCCAAGAAACTATCGGAGCAGCTGGGATAGCCGTAGCCACGAGTATCCAAAATGGCGTACATGAGAAGTGGGCTTACGCGTGGCGTCCTAATGTTAAATACGGCGTTTAGTGGAGCTGCGGAGCGAGCAACATCGCACAATCGTCCGGTCCCTCCCCTTCAGGTTGTAAGGCGGAACAGTTGTTCGGGCTTCATCGACTATTTCCGTTGTTCTTTCTTCATTATTGGTCAACTCGGCGTTCACACGCCACCATCGACGCGGTAGCACCTCACCCGATCTGATGATGTTGCTTTTAGTAACCGGAGTAGAATTAGTTAGAGCTCAGCTGTAAGCATCGTGTTTTGCTAGAACTCCTAGGATTATATGAACAGAGAGCGGAAATTAAGCAGAAGATAAACCTTATAGTTTTGGATACAAATCTCGGCAGCTTCCTTCATCTTGGCCAACTGCTTTTCGAATTCCTTGGAATTGTCCTGGAGAATCGTCTTCACCGTCACTCCATCAGAGTCCGTCGTGGAAGCTGAAAAATAGCAAGGTTGGTCGACCAATCGGTTCAGATATTCGCAAATACCTTCTGATCCTTCTCTGGAGCTGGACAGCTGCTCAATCGTGGGTTCCCTCCTGGATTCTCCATTTGACACAGGCTCAGCCACCTGCTTTTCCTTCCTCTGGTCTGTTGCAGTTTTCGCAAAAAGAGTAGAGCCTCAGCCGATTGTCACCCAGCAGTTGCTTCGTTATTCCTCGTAGATGTCGAGCTCGTCCTTCAGCTCTGATAACTGCCGATCCCTCACAGTCAACTGCAATGGTCTGCCGTTGAAAAAAATGCTTGTATAATTACTGTATAACAGCCACTTACCGTATTTTTCATACGGTCGCTAGCAATCGTTTGCAGTTCGAGACTACTGTACACCGTTTGCAGTCTTCGTTCCAGCTTGGGAACGTCACCATTTTCTTCAGCTACATTCTCTCTGGCTTTGCGAATAGACTTCTGTACTACGAGTTGCTCTTCGAGTTCGTTACGAATCGATTCAATCTGAAAATACTGAGTCTCAGGCGGAGTGTGAAGACAATCAATTAGCCTTAGAAGTCAGGATTTCAACCTATTTTCGGTGCCTGATTAAAACAACACCCCCATATCAAATTTGCGGGGTCACAGCGGTCGAAAATTGTTGTGGATGCCGAGTTGACTAAAAATGAAAAAGAAGCAAAGAAAACCGTCGAAAGCCTGAAACAAGATTCCTCTTGAAAAAGGAAGGGCGGGCTGGACGAGTTGTACGACCTGCCTGCTCCACGGCTCAAGTAACCCGCGCGCATTTGAATGCCGCTACACCGTAAGGTGGGGGTTTTGTGTCATGGGTTGAGGTAACTCGTCCAAATGTTAAGATTAGTCGCCAAAGCTGACTTTGTAAGACCCTAGCGCCATTGTCGCGCACTTTCGAGCCGCGACAACGGCACATCTGTGATACTCGTGGGCTACTCTATCCCACCCACTGAATAGATTCTTCGACACGACTTCTGCTGGGGTGTTGCTTTAATCCAATCAGCTTGACCCAATTTCAGATTGTGGCACTCACCTTGCTCTTTGTTTGATCAATAGCGAGCTCGTTCTCACGAACTTCACGAATCTTTGCTTTGAGCTTTTCAATTTGTGGCAGAGTGAGACCATTAAGTGAATTCAGGTGAGCGGTCTGAAAACTGTCGGTTATGAAAGGAAAAACTGGAACTAAGGTGCTGCTCAACCGTACAGATAGAGCTGTTTGTAGCGTTCTGATGGAGAAGATGAGTCGCGTCCGTTCAGCAGCCCATTCTCTACGTCCTTTCGCCAAGCTCTCTTCCGCATCTCGGGCTTTTCTGGACTCCCGTTCATGGTCTCGTCTACCCTCTTGCAATTCTCGAATCGTCTCCAGAAGGCGCTGCTCGATCGACGCTGCAACAAATATACACGTAGGAGTAGATTGGAAAAACTTGAAAGGGATAAAGTGCTTAAAGGCGAAACCCCGGGGTTAGCCCGACTTGTGGGAAGGATACCGCGAGAATTGTAAGGTACCTACCTAGATCACTCCAGCTTCGCCGCAAAAGTTGCGCGGTTAGGGCGCTAATCCTTACGGGCCTGCAACCATCGACCCCCGTTGCAACGCTTCCCACCCACCTCGATATCGGCGTGCTCTCTCGAACGGCGTGATCTCTCGCGTGTTTTGTCTTCTTTGACCGCCCTGCCTCGCCATCGTTCCACATCCGACCTTTTTGAAGGTTAAGGCCTTAATTTCAGCGATCCCAAAGATTTCTCTAGCTTTCCTTTCCTTTTCAGGCCGTCCCCGCAGCTCAGTCATCACTACGAAGCGCTCTTATCCCGGGACTTGCCGTTAAAGGCAGATGGTACGGTAAACAATCATCGTTGGAAATGAAAGCGCGGACAGAACGTTTTTTGCCGTATAGCTCTTCATCGTTCTTTACTTTCCTTACGTGGTGTTACTCAAGTGTCCGTGCACACCTTTGACGCAGAAAAAGAAGTAAGTAAACAAAAGTGTAAATAAAACAAAAATGGAACAACTTCAACAAACTGTACCTAAAATATTTCAGATCGCTCTCGTTTTCCATGTCTTCCACGAATCGTTTCAGTTCCTCGTTTTCGTTTTGAAGGATTTCAGTCTCTTTCGACCAAAAGTCGTTCTGCTCGCTGAGCACTTCGACGATCTTCTGAAATATTTGTGATTTTGATTTTCAAAACTTCCCAACAAAGGTAAGCTGAGACTTCATGGCTAACTGACCTTTAGGTACGAGTTCTTCGCCTCCAGTTCGTCGGTTTTCGAGTCGGTGGACGCAGCGATCGAAACGACAGTCTCCCTCGCCACCTCGTCCAGCTCACTGCCCAACACCTCAGCGACACATTCCTTTTTGTAGCGCATCACCAACTTATCGTATTTTTCAATAGGTACCGATCGAACAAGCTGACTTTGGCAGCCAGCCAAATCGATCAACGCCGTGTCCTGCAAGGTTCACTCTTATTAGTGGGCTGAAACCGCGCCTAAACCTTGAACCTACCAGCTGGTACTGTAACTGAGCGCAGCGCTTTCCGGCCTGTGTTTCCACCACCACCATTCGTTCGCGAGCTCTTCGCATCACCAGCTCTGCTCGTGCGCATCGCCGTCTTAGTGCGGTATTGGAGCGGGACAAACTGGAAACAGTACATTCTGCCCTGGTTTTGAGAATCGAAATATTAAAGGTAAAGCGTCAATTTTAAAAACGTGATTTCTTGAGCAATTGATGCATGGGATGGAGTGGTGTAGTTGCAAGTGGCGCTGCTCACCGCGCACACGGTTCTTGGTCAAGTCGCCCTGGGCAACAGAGCCCTCCTTTCTTTCGAGATCGCCTAATTGGTATCGAATTCATCTTGGAAAATGTTGTCGATGATCTGCACAACAGTCGGCTCCCACAGGTCAAGTAGGCGGATCACATCCTCATGCCACTATGGCTATGAATGAACAGTGTGGGGAAGAATGCATGGCGCATTCTAGAGAAGAACTAAACGCTAAATGTTCTCAATTCGGCAAAATGCTAAGTTTTGTGCAAAACCCTGGCTCCAAAAGAATCCGAACCTGCATCTCTTATGTCTCAATTGTGCTACATCTTACGCTACCAGGGCAACATTTCATACTAGCCCTCTTTAGGCCGATGTCAGACTTTGCGAATCGCGCGATTCGCTAGCGTCCGCGGTCGCGTTGCGGTACCAGCCAATTGAGTGATTCACTGGCCGCGACGCGACCGCAGACGCTAGCGAATCGCGCGATTCGCAAAGTCTGACATCGGCCTTAGGTGGATTGCTGTAGTTATCGCATTCACACGTCTAAACGTGATGAGCCGATCGGCTAAATACTCTATTCCTACCGATTGCTGCATATATACATAGTTTGAAAAACTGAGTACTGAAAAACGGTTTACCGTAACCGTTCGATCTGTTCGTTTATCAATTTCCGTGTCATCTCTTCAGCCGCGGTCCCAGCTCGGTCCCTGGTACGAATTGTGACGCGAATGCTGAAAAGGAGTGGGTCGGAAATGCTGTATTTGAACGTGAGAAGGAGAAGAAAAACCTTGTGTAAAATGATTGAAAATTTGACAGTCCTTACCGTAGTGTCCAACATTTCCCTGTGCTGTTCGTAGCTGGCTTCGGTCTACTGCGATCTTTTGCATATGATAATATTCCTCATAAGCTGCCGCAAAGGGAACGTAAATGTGTAAGGTATGAACCCTTAAGTTAGCATAAAACGATTTTCTCGAGCGAGTGATTTATGAATAGTAGTCCTAATCGAGAGAATATAATGGAAAAATATTCGAAGGGGAGGGGGTGTCGGTGAACATGGTTTAGCTCCCATTTCCACTGCAAATTCACGGCAGGTTTGGAAAGCATTCAGGGAACAAGGCAGATTTGGAGGGGGGCAGGTGTTAAAGGATATCTTCCACTGACATACGACAAGTGCGCGGACCGGAGGTTTTACTGACGAAATGCAATTGGTAGTACGACCACGTTTCATTGGGAAGCGTTGAGTGAATCTGTCAGGTCGTCGGCACACTTGTCATTACTCTACCATCATTTACTTCACCAAAATTCCACGTACCACGCCATTGGTCCATGGTTCCGGGAATATCCTTTAAGTGAGATTTTCTGAGGAGCTTTCCAGGCAGTTCCGTGTGATACCGCCTAAAATCAAGCAAGATAACGCCAAAAATTCATGAGAATCAGTCAATGCAGCCTTGATCAGCTTCTTTTCTCGTGTATTTTTTCTTTGGGATAATTACATAAAAGATTTGAACCTTCTTTCAAGAGTGCTTCCTTCGTCAACTCTACTCACTTCAGTATTCATTTGACTTAACGCTATATCAAGTTGAAGCGAGCGCGGTGGAATTACGTGGGAGACGTGACCCAATTAAGGGTCACTTTGAAATTGCGTTACTCTCGTCCTCCCTGAAAGTCGGCGGCCTTGGGCACACCTGTCACAACAGTACCACTTACGAGCAAGATAGTCCCAAATTTCTGACCTTTTCACACTTTTCGAGAATCGGGGTCACCAAGTGGTTATTATATAACAATCGAGTAGTGTACCAGAATACCTGCTAGTTTGTGTTGTGAGATGTCCAGATATTTCCTGTGTCAATGTTCTGCTAACTATGCCAAAATCATCCTCATGAGGACTCAGCATACGTTTTCCTCTGCCTCCCTACTCCTATCCTCCTCCCCGCCTTCCACCATATCCCTTCTTTGTTGGTCCTCCTCCACCATCATCAACACCTCCACCGTATCCCTTCTTTATTGGTCCTCCTCCACCATCATCAACAACCATTTACTGCCCTTTTCCACCACCACCTCCGCCACCTTTGTATCCTTTTCCTCCGTATGTGATGCCTTACCCAATTCCTTACCCTTGTTACTCAGATGCACTTCCTCCCCACACTTCAGTCCCAGCCTCACCACCTCGTGAATCTTCTTCTCCACCTCCTCGCTTTGCTTCTCCCGTTCCCTGCTCGTTTTGGGTGCGCTTCTCCACTTTCCTCTCCGTCTCCAATCCCAATTGGTGATGCACCTCCAGCGGCGTCTCCTCACCTCAAACCTTTATCTCCAACAGCTCTTCGTTCATCAACACCATTGCGGCCTCCCCATCTCTCACCTCATCTCTCTCTTGCGCAGTCCATTCAGCGTTCTTCCCCGATGCATACTCAATATTCTTCTGGAGTAGAGCGTCCTCCTCGCCTCGCGCCTCCTTCTCCACTTCCTCAAGCTCAGCTATCACCAACTCCTCGATCGTACATGCCTTCTGGTACTTCTCAGAATCACAGCGCACCCATTTTAAGTTCTCTCCTTTCTGCTCCATTCACAGCTCCTCATCACGACATAGCGCTACCATCTCGTCACTTCGGAGGAAATGTCTCTTTCTCATTATCCTCCCACACTTGCTCCTCCGTCTCCAACCCCACTTGGCGACTTATCACTAGATCTTCCTTCCCTTGAACCAGCTTCTCCGGGTGTGTCGTTGCAGTCTCATGAATCCGCTGTTCCTTGTTCTTCAGGTTCGCCCAACTCAACGACCTCAGCGACAGAACGACCAGAACGCCCTCCTCGCGAGCGATTTTTCGGAGAAAGACAGGTAAGCAAGAGAGGTAAACATGATGTGTTGATCTACAGAATTCCAGGAACTCGCCATTCCTACACTTTTGCTCGAATGCACGTCAACAAGCTCGAAAAGGTGTATCGTTGCCAGAACTGCCACAACACAAGCACTAAAACACGTACGGTGACAATCAAAGTGAGTTCCAAGCAGGGTGAATAACGGTCGAGGATTTCCTCGACCATAGCTCTCTACCATGCGAGAGTAGTGCCGAGAGTGAACATCCGCGCGGAGAGCACAGACGGCACGCGCATGGCGAGTGTGAATGTCCGCGCGAGAGATCGTGTCTGATCGGGCAGAGAATCCTCGACGTGCCGTTGAGGAATCCTCAAGCGATATTCACCCTGGTTCCAAGGGCTTTTTAACAGGGTTAACTGTTTGTTCGCACAATTCGAACGAGAGGGTCGCATTTGCGGTTGTATAAAGGAGGGTCACTTTTTTGGGTTGAGCATGGTTAACTACCCCTCACAAAAGGCGCACGGGGGCGTGAAGAGGGGTTGTATTTGACGGGTTTTCGATGGTCTTGGCTTGCTTACCTGTCTTTCTCCGAAAAATCGCTCGCGAGGAGGGCGTTCTGGTCGTTCTGTCGCTGAGGTCGTTGAGTTGGGCGAACCTGAAGAACAAGGAACAGCGGATTCATGAGACTGCAACGACACTCCCGGAGAAGCTGGTTCAAGGGAAGGAAGATCTAGGGATAAGTCGCCAAGTGGGGTTGGAGACGGAGGAGCAAGTGTAGGGAGGATAATGAGAAGGAGACAATTCCTCTGAATGACGAGATGGTAGCGCTATGTCGTGATGAGGAGCTGTGAATGGAGCAGAAAGAAGAGAACTTAAAATGGGTGCGCTATGATTCTGAGAAGTACCAGAAGGCATGTACGATCGAGGAGTTGAGGATAGCTGAGCTTGAGGAAGTGGAGAAGGAGGCGCGAG